GCAAACATCCTTAGGAAGACAGAGGGTTGTGCCTTTCTTAGGTAATTATACTCAAAGCGGCTGGTGCTGCGGGAGGAGCCTGGTACAATAGTTTGTATGACTGAATCATTTACTGAGAAGTCCAATATTGCATTTTTAGTTGCACAATGGATTTTTTCAGCCTTTCCCATATTTAAACACAAACAGTGGCAGAATATATTCCGTATTATTTCTTTTTTTTTTTTTTTAAAGATGGGAGAATAAAGGAGAAATGTCACACAGTAAGTAATACATAAAGTGACTTAAACCAGCAGACAACAAGGAACCTCTTGAAACACCAGCATTTTACACAGGGACACAGATGCATAAAATTTACTGTCAAAATGTTTATTGCAAAATAGAAGTTTGGAACAAAGAGAAGCAAAAGAAAAAGTTCACATCAAAAGAAAGTTTATGACACCAATTGAGGAAATTGAATACATTGCATGACTTTTTGTTTGCTTGCTTTGATTTTACACTGGAAAATCAAATCCACAGTGTGAATAAAACGACATCATATGTCAAGTGCAATAAGGAGAATAACTGATGCTGCAAGGTTTTACCACACAGAAGTGTAACATTGCATGTTCCACACAAATGATATACTCAGTTTACAGCACAAGAGTTTTGGCACAGGCGTTGTGCTCAGCATTGTTTTTTTCAGAAGGGAGAATGAAGTTTTCTAACACTGCGAAAATATTTTCTATTCAAATTTCATCAGTTCACACTTGAAGTGTAAGTAGCATTGACTCCTAGTATTCAGTACAAAACTTTTTCAGTAGTGCAAAAGCAAGAAATGCAGTGGACTACATCTGACTTTAAAAGGCATATGAATATTTAGCACACAATATAAAATGTTTAAAGAAGATTGTTGGTTCTACAGTTTTAAAATTAAATCTTCACACATCAGAAATCTCTGTGCAGATTTTACAGTGTACACTAAGTAGAAGTCTGGAGGGAAAAGGGAAAGGTCTCTCCGCCAGATTCCTACCAGTGCATTTTAAGGACTGTGAAAATTACTAAATGAACTTATTTTGCTACCTGAACATTCTACCTAGGACTGTAGTTAAAACCTCTGTCAAGTTAGAGGTCTTATTAAAAACCTGTAAAAGCTGCCTGATTACAGAAAAAGGAATTACACTACTAAAGACACACAGTAACACTGCTGAATACTTAACAGCTCTATGCATGCTATGGATTTACTGCTACTGCTGCTAGCAATATAAATCATCACATCAAATATTTAATTCGGAATAACCACTTTAAAACCCAGAAGGAAAGGGGATCAACATCTAACAAAACTGCTGGAACAATAAACAAATAACAAGTCAGGAACACGACTGTGTGGCACGGAGCTGCGCCAGACTTCACCTCCTGGAAGCCCTTCACATCTAGAGGGAACAAGCTCCATGCCAGGCAGCACACAGCTGGCTGGGGATGCAGCACACCTACACACTGTACCTTAGGACACTTGATACCCCAAGGAAGTAGTGCTGTGATCATCACAAAAATGACTAGATCAAAAGTTTTACCCCATTAATTCCCCTCTCCCATTTTTTTCTCCACTGCTGAAGGAAAAGAAACGGAGTTGGGCATCCTGTCTTGGTCCCAGCTCACCCTGTATCTTCAAGCAAGCCAAAAACCGATCCTCACCACTCTTCTCTCGGGCCATTTACCCATCTGAGTTGATACCGGCAATACAACGGCTGGGTAACAACGAAACGTTCAGGCCTGGTTCTCACCTTGCCCCTCTGTCAAATGCAGCAACATTATTTTGCTGCATTTTTTTTGTAGAGAAAGCTGGGACCCCAAAAGGCCCAGTGGGGACTAGTGTGCCGAGAGGCATAGGAGGCGTGGGAAGGCTTTTGGTGGCTTTGCTCACAGCCCAGAGCAGCCCGAGAAACCCCTTCTGGGTTTGGTGAATGCTTCATAAGCTGACACACTATGTATGTAGCCATGGACTGTTGTGGAGATCTAGATACCCTGGTGATGATACAGGTAGAAGACAGACTGGGTTGCACTGCAAGAGCAATATCAGGTGTGGAAGATGAAATACTTCGACCTCCTCCAACCAACATACCTGCCCACCAGAGCCACTTTCAAAACCTTTATCTAGTGAGAAGCATATCAGAGGCAGAAACAACACAGCTTGATTCTCACATACGATTTTTTGGCTTGTGAACTGGAGACATTTGGTATGAAAGTCATCACAGGAAAGTGAAAATGCAATCAATACCATTATTTTTTTAATACCATTATTTTTTTTAATAAGCATAGCTAATATACTAAGTAAAATACTATCTCAAGGGAACTGCACCAGAAGAGTTTGTCTTGTTATCACCCTCTCTACAATTCAGAGACCTTTCCTACTTTGAACACACAAGTAAGTTTTACAAGAGTTTAGATTTTTCCTTAATATTTGTCAGCTTAATTTCAGCTTAATCAAAGCTTAATTTGCTTTGACAAATAATGAATGAGGAAAGGGGAAGGAGAAAAAAAATCCACCTTTGTTACATTAAAAAAATACTATAACTAAGTAGATAGCAGAAATTCCCATGAGCATGCTACCAAATTCTGATGATATTTTGCTGAAATAAGTTACACATCTGGGTAAGCACAAAACCTTGAACACAGACTTAAAATACCGTGATTTTGCAACTACGAAACCCTGTGTCAATACTACTTAAGGATTATTTTTACTTCTGTAAAGATGGAGTAGATTTGCAAATTCAGTTTGAATTCAGTTGAAACCCCGTGCAAATATAAGCATGCATGAAGTGCTCTCAGATTGTCAGCTGCTAAAAAAGTGCAAAACATCAATGCTAGGGATAGGGTTTTTTTGCTTTTCTGAATACTACATGTACTGAACCAAATTTCATTTTCAGTTAAAGCTGTACAACCCTACATTGCTTATGTGGTACAGTAATTTATGTGCAATGACACACGTCTTAAGATCTAAAGTGCACATATTAGATTACACAAATCCATCAAATTTTTCTGGGTGCAAAGTGGCAGTTACAAAACCAGTATCATTGCTGTGGGTGTTACCAGACATAAACTTACAAAAATAGTACAAATCTGCACTGGAAACAACTTATTTGCTCTTATTTCCATGTAGTTATTTGCCCTTCAACGTCCCTTTTTCTCCCTAAAACCAGGACGCTTTGATGGACCTAAGAAGCAATCCCTACCTGTGCTAAAGGAGTGAGTTTCTCCTTGGGATAATCCGTAAACTTATTACATCATTTAAATTACAATTCTGTCATGAGGAAAGCTTCCTGATACAAGAAGGCTAATTTTAAGCCAATGAATTTGCAACTGTTCGGATGAAGGTGGACTGTGGAATGACATCCTTCAGAAATTAAGCATCTTGGAGAGTCTAATCCTGTGCAAACTGAGTGAAGTAGGCTAGCTTGAAGCGCAGCACTCGCTGCCTTGCAGATTAGCAGACCAGTGCTGATGCTTAAGGATAAAACAATTCTCTCTTACAACCCAAAGAGGTGCCCACTTGTGACTCTAGGAAAAGTCCTTCAAAGAACTTTCTCTTTTGTTGAGTGAACATGTAAGGATTTCAGGCCTGCTGTTATCTAATGCATCCATTTTTCTCTAAGCTATCTACAAAAACACCATAATATGTAGGTTAGAGCTGTGTAAAAGGCAAGCCTATAATTAAAGAAAAGCCACTCAAAACCAGAAGTTTTCATAAAAGAAACCCCTCCAGTAATTGAGAATGGAATTTTGAAGGCTTATTCCCACTACAGCTGAACTAGACAGTAACGTTTTTCTTTTGAAATGCTGCCCTTCTTCCTTGGGCAAATATTTTACATCATCTTCCTTTCTAACCTGCATTTGTGTTCACACTGGTTTCCCTCCCTCCTCCTGCATCACCACTAAAGGGATCATCAGGAGAAATGTACTCATGGTTCTCAACACAAGTGCCTGGCAGGCAATTATTGGAGCAGATTGTTACACACCGAGTTTTATGGTAAGTCATAACAGAAGTGGCAGTACTTTAAAAGTGATTTAGCTGGAAAAAACAGGTACGCAGAGACTAGCAAATATTCCTCAAGTTACCGTCATCACGGGGATTTTCACATAAGCCACAGTAGTAGGGCCCAGGCCGAAATGTCAGTGTGACTTCTCTTTGTCCTTCCATAAGGGCAGCACACACGGTTTAGGAGATGCAACAGAACCAAAATTTACTAACACCAATTTTTACTCTCAGGTACAAGAATAAGTCCATCAAAGTTAATGAGGCTTCCTGGATTTACATCAACATAACTGAAAATTACCTTCTAGATCACAATATCTGATAATAGATGCAGAGGTCTGATTGCAGTTTGCTTTGCTAGACTGAATTATATACACATGCACACACACGTGAGGGGAAAAAAGAACATTTATACAAATCATCTACTAATAGGGATTATCTGGATTCTGCTGCTATTCAGTTTTTAAACTGTGTATTTAACTAACCCCTCTCTTACCCTCAACCAAGCTTCTCTCTTCCTAGAAACATATTTCCAACTACCCACAATGCTGGCTTGGAAAAGGCTTTAAATTAGAAACACAGCAAACCCCTTCACTGCAACAGTAAGAAAGAATGGATTGTAGAGAATAGCAAATCTGGAATTACAAGCAAATTCGTATGATTGACAATTAAAGGGGTAAGGGAAATGACAAAAACATAAAAAGAAAAATTTTAAGTACATTAATGGCATTAAAGGCATTGAAGTTTCCCCCAGTGTTTTCAGATCTTAAGTTTATCAAGCCATAGTTTCTGTAATCAGGCATCAAGAATTATAGATATAATAATGGTTCTTAAAATAATAATAATAATAATCTCAATGAGTTTGGATAGTTTAGTTCCAAATTTCATCAAAGCAGAAATAAGTCAGCACAATCTAAACAAATACAACACGTCTTTCTACACACAAACATGCTCAGCCTGGTAAATGTCTCTTTTTTTTTTTTTTTCTTTTACAGGATTTAAACAGACCAAACTGACAGGATTCTTGTTCTAAAACTTTATTATTTTGCTTTGCTAAAACCAATTTCAGGGTTAATTCTATAACTGATTTCATTCGCTGCTATCATCTGTGTCATCAAAATAATCATCATCATCATCATCATCATCTGACCAGTCGAATTCACTGAAACCCAAAGCCATGTTGATTTTCTTTCCTTTTCTCATAGAGGTGGTTTTAGAAGAATTCTTTTTGGCTTGCATGTTTATCTGCATTCCAGAATGCAGGACAGATCCTGCTTGGTTCAGAGAGAAGATATCCCCAAAGCCCGTCATCATCAAGGCCTTCAGACTTTGGTTCATGCCAGCTACCTCCCCGTTACTTGTTGCTGTGATCTGACATGACATCTCTGCACTGTTTGACTCCTCTGTTTTAGATTCAAAGTAAGACTCCTCAGACATTCTTGCAGCAAGAGGTAAGAAAAACTATTTAAAGGAGGAAAGGACAGAGCAAAAGTGAAAGTTAGAACCAATTTAAAAATTGAGGAAAAAGACACCACCAGATTAGTTGGCAATCAACGGAAAGCACAACGATTAGTGAATCTAAACACAGAGAATTCATTAAACCAGACAGCTTCTTTCTGGGGTCATTTTTCTTAAACAAAAGTTCAAAATCACTGAGTCGCATGGCAAGAACCACAGGTAGCAGAGATTTCATGACAAAAGAAGGTTCAAACTCTTCAATCCTTCATTTTGTACAGTTTAAAACAGAATGCGGCATTTCCCAGCCAGGTGGACTGGCTCCCACAGCAATGTGGGTACAACAGAAGTCTGAGTGAGTTGCTTAATTGAACCTTTCAGGATTGAAGAATAAATCACATTAAGATCAGAGAACCCAAACAAGCTCTCAAAGTTTGGTGCAGAAGTAGCAGCCCTCTAAATATCAGAAATAACAGCAGCAGTATTATTTGTGCAAAGACTCATTTTGAGCATATGCTCAAAAGGAGAGGAAGGGGTCACCCTGTGATGGCCACAGTCCGAAACAAGCCTCTCACCAGTGCAAAGGACATGGGAAGCGGCCTCCAGCCCACACCAGCACTTTGCTTCTGGAAGCTGTCCCAGGGAGAAGCAGGCAGGGAAAG